CTTTTTAACCCGACTTAGGTTACCATTTGCCAGGATCATGTTCTCTGTCAGTTGCCTTTTGCTAGCTCTTCTGTGCTGCTCCTCACAATCCTTCTTTCTGTACAGCTGCAGATCAGTAATTGGTGGGAATCCCTTGCTACCAAGGTTTGGCTACCCTTCTGAACGACTGCTGAGGTTGTCTGAACCTAAAAAATACCTCCCTGCTTTCCTGGAGCAAAGGTAAGAAAGCCTATAGGGTGCTATGGGTAGAGCCTTGGGTCTTGCAGCATCAGTGGTATGTAATAAACGCAGAGCAGAGGATGGGTAAACAAAAGGCAGAATGCAGAGCAGGGTCTCTGCTGGGATTAGAACTTCTAGATTCTCTCATGGGATGAGTTCTACACTGGAAATGGCCACAAGATAAAAGCTGCTTTCTACTGCAGCAAATGTGAGGCTTAGACATCCCAGCTGCTGCCAGGTTGGAGAACATCTGTGAGTGGCAGTGCCATGACTCTCTGCTTCCAGATCCCGTGAGTCCCCCGAGTGGCCTGTGTCCCTGGCTGCACAGAACTATAATGCCTCCAAGCGGATACTGCAGCTTGCCCAGCCAAAGGGGGTGCACCCAGACTTTGTGCCGCCCAGAGAGGTGAGGAGGAGGTTGAGTGAGATTTGGAGGGTACAGGGATGCAGCAAACTGTCCTGAGTTTTTAGAGCCCATGTCCCACCCCTGGATGTACCCAGTGTGTAGAGGGGAGAAGCTGTCTGGTTCTGCTGTGGTTTATGACACTGCAAGAAGCTGCCTTTTCAGAGAAGAATGTTGTCTTTGCAGATCTGCTGAGAGACAAACAACAGCAAGGTTGGAGCAGCCTAGTAAAGCAAGAGAGCCAAGGGGGGCATCTGGCTGCATCCTTTGATAAAGCAGCCTGGGAAAGTGGAGAAACCTGATGAAAATGGCATGTTTAGCTCTTAGGGAGTAGTCATGTTTGTAGTTGGGCAGCTCTGCTCCTATCTGAGTACACAGGGGGCATGAGATTGCAAATACTATGTGTATTTTAACTACATTTTACCAGAAGCCTAATTTATATTTCTGAGCTTGTTCCTTTTAGGTGGGTGATTGATTTGACAGGGGTGAAAGGGCTTGAAGCAATCTCAGATTACACTCATTTCCATGGCAAAGTCTAGGTTTTCTGGATACAGCCTCTGGGGCTGGGAAATGGGAGGCTGGGCTGGTGCAGGACTGGGGAACCATAACCCTGCGAAAAATTTTGGAAGAAGTTCCCTGCTGGAGAAGTAATCACATTTTCTGTAGGAATGCAGTTAACTGCAGCAGCAAATTTACCCTAAAATCTGTATGTCTCTTCTTAGCAGGAAAGTTACTTGATTCAGCCAGGAAGATGAATATAAAAAACATGGAAGGAATTTCTCTGTAGTTTTACCTGGCTACCCAGGCTGTCATTACAGGCACTCCCCTCCTGACTGTGAGTGGGCAACAGCTGGGGAATCCCTATAGCGCCAAAATTACTTAATAGTTCAGGTGAAAGAAAAATAAGGGATTCTGGAAAATTAAGAGTGATCATGTGTGCAGAGGAAGGGTGCTGGGATGCTCATCCTTGTGGAGAGGGAGCATATCCCTTTGGGCTGCTGTACAAGCTCTGTGTCTGCACATCCCTCCCACATTCTGGATCCATGCAGGTGCCAACACAGATTTCCAGCTTTGCAGTTTCGGCCAAGGCATCGGCGCGGGTCGAGAAACTCGCAGAGCCCTTGATCAGGGAGATGACCTGCTGCTCTAAGCACACCAAACCTGGTGTTGTCATCTCTACGGTAAGGCAGCATCACCCAGGACCCTACATGGATGGGACTTCTGGCAGAGGAGTGGGTACAGGTGCTCAGTCACTTGTGGCTCTCTTCATGTCAGCCCTGGAATGTGCTGCTCTCCATGAGGCTGGTGTAGCTGTTTCCTGAGCTGGAAAGCAGGACTTGTGCTCCATTCAGAGCATGAACTGACTCCCAGCACATATCCCCAGAGAGTGGCAGATCTGTGCCTAACCTGCACTTGTGGGAACAGGGAGAGGTGGACAAGTGCCTAACTGGGATCTCCAGTGCTGGGGGTGGATTGGACAAAAGGCTGTGAGTAATAGGAGGCTGGAGGGCAGGCTGTGGGACTGGCCAGGCAGTGATTTCTCCTTCTGCGGTTTTCTTGGTGCCAAACAGCTGAGGACATGACTGAGTCCCATCTGTGTGTGGTCAGTGGCTGTGAACCTGGTAACACTGAATTGGTTGCAGGCTGGGCACCCTTGAATGCCAGGAGCATCTCTAAGGACCTTCCTCCCCATTCTTCCACAGGTTTCCAGGGCATCTCAGAAGGTAGTTGCAAGCCCTCGGACCATTGAGCTGTCAAAGCCCAGACAAGTCCACGCTAAGTTCATGCCTGCACGGGATCCTGAGTGGCCTGTGACAGCGGCTGCCAAGCGTGCAATGGCTACAGAAAGGATTGTGGCACTGGCCCAGCCTACCGCAAGGTAGGTACTGCTTCCCTATCGTGGGGAAACAATCAGCTGCCAGCCCATTCTGTGTGGCTTATGGCACCTTGTTCATTTGTGTTTGGCCAGAGAGATTAGGCCAAGATTAGGAAGTACTCTTCCACTTCCAAAATGCATGGGTTTTATATGTTTGGATGTGTTAATGCTACGTGGATTGCGGTTTAAAAAGCCCTTTTGTGGTAGAAGGGGACTCAAGAGAGAAGGAACAGGAACTCTTTTATTCCAGCAGAATTACTGGTTGGGACTTGTTATTAATTCCAACTATAAAAAGCAACCAACTGGCAAAAGGCAAGAGTGTGATATACTCATGTTGCCCAGCATGTTGCAGCTGACCTCAGCCCAGTCTGCAGGAGGTGCTGGGGAGGATGTTTCACAGAGGGTGAGGGAATGCCTAGCCGTAGTGGCTGTGAGAGATACTCCTCTCCTGACGACAGCAGTGGAGGTGTGATGACTTTTGTCCTCCCTTGACAGTGAAGGGCAGGCTTAGGTGGAGGTGTGGGAGCTTGCAGGCAGCTGACAGCTGGCCTTGCTCCAGTCAGGATTGACCATCCCTACCCTCTCTCCTCCAGACCTCGAACGGGCTTGACTGCACTCAACCCAGATGCATTCAAAGTGAAGGAGGCTGCTCTGAAGGCAGTTTGTTCTCCACGGCTCGAAGAACTAGCTCGGCCAATACAGCGCTAAGCTCCTTCAGAAATGCTCCTGCTAGCTGCCCACATCACCCCTTGGAACACCACTCTCTCTGGGCTCTGCTGTGGCTGGAAGATCTCTTTGAACACAGCACAGAGGCAGCACTCAGCAGGAACGCTTTCTGGGAGTTAAAATAAAATCATTCCTTTAGAAAGTCATCAGGGAAAATTACGGAATTCAACTTAATGTGGGAAGACTCTCTTCCTAGGATGGGTTATGTCTGGAGTTTCTCTCTTGATTGTTTTGTTGTAATAGTTTAAGAAGTAATGAAACAACTGCTGGGGGAAGGCAGCACAGGAACTGTCCTTTCATGCAGGGAAGTGTGGTAAACCAAACCCAAGAGCATGCAGTAAGCTGATGCAACATAATTCCTGATTTTGGGTTTAAAATTTTTTGCTGAAATTTAAACGTCTTCTTACTGACACTCAAAAGTTTTGTGCTTGTGACAGAAGTAGAAAGACAAAAGGCTACAATATATGTTGAGTTGGCTTGGATTTGGGACCTGTTTTCTCCAATGCCTGGAGAACGGGCAGATCCACTTACATAGGTGGGTTAAAGCTGTGTGGTTCAGATACTCAGTTGTGTGACCTTGGGCAAAATAAGAGAGTTCTGTGCTGGGATTTTTGGAGCCTAACTGAAAAAAGTGGAGTTCCCCTCAGTGTAAAAGAGAGGGCAAGTTGCAAAGGCTAAGCAGAAAACAAGTATTGGTGCCAGAGTCTGTTGTGAGCTCCAGTCAGGTCTGTGGGTCAGTCAGTTTGGCAGCTGGGTTGCAGGGGAACAACACAGTCTGTGCAGGGCATGACATAAAGGGAGAATGCTTTTATCTGCTTCCTACAAGGTCAGTGTGCTTTGCACTGGCTGCCCAACCACTGGTGACAGGCTGGAGATACTGAGGCAAGAGAGATGCTCAGTGGTAAGGGACAAAAGCCACAAATGAAAGCATATGGCAGTTTCAGAGCCAATGTATTTTTATCTTGCCCTTGTTAAGCTGATTTTCCTTCCAAAGGAGTAGAGGCAGGTGACCACAAACCAGAAGGGGATTAATGAGACGATCCATTAATTGATTCAGTAATCCACTAAGCAGAGGAGTTTCAAAGCCTTTTGAACAAGGTAAGGTCACTGTGAAATGGTGCTGGTTATTTTTAGACCAGGCATTGTCCTGTGCCAGGATGAATGAGAGTTTGGACTTCGTGCAAGAGCCCCAGTGCAACTGCATTCCTCAGGCTTGAGAATGGCCAGGAGGAGACTGGGGTCTCTCCCTAAAACCCCCATGCTGTGGGGGAACCCCAGCACCACCAGCTTCTGCCACCCTGGGGATTAAGGGGTGTGGGGTTGTGTGGGCTGCCATGCATGGACCCACGGGTGCCCTAGGAGCCAAGGCTTCCCATGGCTGTCCCTGTGGCAAAGGGAAAACCCATTGTGCCCACTGAGGCTGCCTGGGAGAAATATTGCCCATCCAGAGGAAGGAGTCTGCCTCCTATCATGGGGGCAGAGAGCACAAGCAGGGACATAACACAGCTTCTCTCATCAAAAAATGTTGCAATTTATTACTGCACTGGGAAAAAACCCACGAGTTCTTTCTCTTTGGTGACCTTTAACCAAAAGGTTAAAAAGGCATTCAAGGGTGCTTGGCTTGGTCTGATTATGGTGTAGGCACTTGGTTTGCCAGTATTCAGAGCTGATTCAGGCATGTCAAGCCAAACCAAGTCACCTGAACAACACACCTGGTTTTCCAGATGCCCTATTCTCCGCACTTTAAAGCTAGCACACATACTTTCCCTCTGGGGATTTTAAGGAAAAGGAATCTTTATTTCTTCCTTCTATATTTGAACATACATCATGGCAGAATTTCTGCAAGCCTGAGACAAGGGCATGAAATTGCCTTTTCTTGTGCAGCTGCTGTTAATGGGTTGGAATCCCTGGATAGGTTATCAGCCATCAAAAGTTGTATACACACATGTGTATGTGTATATATGTATATATATAATTTTTTTTCTGGTTATGTACATATTAAATAAGATTTCTGTTAAATAGCAAAGTATTACTTAGTATTGCAAAACCTATTGCAGCAGAAGAACCCCAAGGAAACCCACTCTGAAGAGCTTCACCATCCTTTATAAGAGGCAAGGGGATTGGAGCAGCATCCTCTAGTCCCTTACAGACCCGCTTTCTGAGGGCAGCCCTTCAGACTTCCTCCACTCCGCCAGGCGCTGCTTGAACCATTTCTGGAGAAAAAGAACAAAGCAGAGGCTGAGTGCACTGAGCTGAGTGAAGCCTCCAAATAACTTTGCTAAAAGGGCAGATGTCAGCACGTGGGAAGAGGTGGAGGGAACTCATGGTGCTGCTGCCTTGTAGCAAGGTGCTGTTCCCAGGCAGTACAGGCAGCCAGGATGGTGACTCCTGACCAAACAGTCTTGTAAACTACACATGCACCTCTTTCAAACTCATTTCTCTAGCTCACTTCAGACCTTGACAGTGTGAGTGAGTCCTTTTTTTATTGCTGTGAGCCCAGGTTTTCCTTTGAGCAGAGTAAGAGACTGGCTAAGAAGCTGAATGGTGTCTGTTTAAATGACTGGAGAAGTCAAACAATCATTTGCATGTCCAAAACGGACAGGAATCGAAAACTCACCTGTTTCAGAAGGCATGAGAGGTATGTTGCACATTGAGTCTCAGCAAATTTAAGAACAAATCTATTTTTAAAATAGTTTAAAAATTGTCTTGGTGTTGAGGCAATATGCATATCTATGTTAGCAGTAACTTAGCACTATGTCTGTTGTAACTTAGCAGCTGGAAGCCTATTCCAAGAGCTGCTGATGCCACTTCAAGGCAGCACAATTTAAAATATTAGATAAAATGTGTGGTTAAAGCTACACTACCTAAGAAGAAAAGAAAGGAAAGAAATACTACTCAAGTGCCGGAAGCACAGCTCAGCCTTTTGTTTGGCAATGTGCCTGTGATTCCTTTTGTTGCAGTTCATTTTGTTGCTATATTTGTTCATGGTTATTTTTGAAGCTATTATGGTCCATAATGATACAACCACAGTGCTCTCTAGAAGTGCCTCTCAGTCTCTCACTGCCTTTGACCACATCCAGTCATACGATTGACAGCCTAGCCTCCTCTCAAAAGTTTCACTTGCTGTCCTAAACTATAATCTCCTCTTTGCATCTCATTGTTAATGAATTTTTTATTTAAATGGCTGTTATTTATAGATGATAAAGCACTCCAGATGTCAGGGGCAATGATACCCTGTGTTCTATGCAATGCAGGCACTTTTCAGTTCACCCCACTTGATCCTGTCCCTAATATGACCTCCATCTCCAAATCTCTAGGAGCACACCAGATCAGTGGAAAAAGATAGCTATCAGGAAAGATTTTAAGACATCTACAGAGGTGCCCTTGGGCATATATAGCCCGTGTTTACAAGTTGCTTTAGGAAAAAAGAAAAAGGAACAGTGCCATTGCTATGGAGAAAAAGGTATTTTATGGGTACTGCCTCCTCGCTGCCTCAAACAAGCAGTGATTGATGCCTGCCTGTCACCAAAGCACGGTCCACTCCAGCTGGAGGGCTATTGTGCAATGGATGCTGTTCCTGCATCTTTCCCTGGGATAGCTAAATGCTGACACTGCCAGCTCGTCTTTTATACCCCTTTGGCTTTGCTGAGGGAGAGCCAGGCTTGGCAGCTCTCTGCAAACTGCTGCTAACTTTCCAGTGGGTTGGATTTCTTTTCTGTACCCATAAATGCTGCTATGGGTCTAGTAATCACCTGCATCACAATGAGCTGCACTGCCACCTGAAGGAGCTGGGAAGAAGCCTTTTGTTTCTGAAGCCTACGGTAGCCTGCAGCTAGCCAGTTGGAGCACAGGGGGTGGTGGAATTCCCAGACAGTGGCAGCTTGTCCCTGTGGAGGGGTGTTTGGGGGCCTCTATGTCTCCTGGAGAGGCTGACAGACTTGCCTGACATCGGGTGACGCTGAGGGGGAGGGTGTGCAGCCTGAGCATGTCCCACAGCACATCCTGCAGGAATTGCATCTATCCTCTATGGATTTTATAATGACAGTAGTTTCTTCAGACCTTAAAACCAGCGGTAGTTTGTGCATCCAAGACTATCAGAAAGGGTTTGGAAGAACAGCGTGCACGGGTTGTACATTCAGGAGCAGAAACACGTGGAGCACAGGGAGGTGCTGTGTTGAATTAAAGCTCTGTGGGTGCAGTTAGGGGTGTTCTGGGGGTTGCAGAGGTGCACAGGAGACTTGTGAGTGCAGGGGGCACGGTGGGGCAGGGAGTGCAAGGAGGGAGCACACGGGGCACAGAGGAGTGCAGGCGGTGTGGGGGGAGCATGAGAAGGGCAGGGGCTGCTGTAGGAAGCCTGTGGGGGGACAGACGGGTGCAGGTGTATGACAGACCAGGACAGGCAGGAGACGGGCACAGAGGCATGCAGGGGGAGCGGGGCTGGTGCCAGGGGCAGGATGAGAGGCATGCACTCACCAGAGTCTGCTCTTCGGAGAGCCCAGTCTCAGCAGCGATGAGGCACAGTGTGGTGGGGTCAGGATGCTTATTCACCTTGCAGAAGTGGTATTCCAGGATCTCCAGCTGCTCCTCAGTGGGAATCACTGGCTTTTCCATGGCTATCTCCTCCTGGGGCAGGTCTATGGGGACAGGCACTGCCAAGAGGGGCTGGTGTCATTGCTCAAGCTGGGAGTGGCCAGTGGGGCCACACTCGCTGAGCCCCAGATTTGCCATCCGTGTCCCCACCAACCTCCCCCCACCCCGCTCCGGCTGTGGGCTCTGGCTGCAGCAGGGCTCAACTCCCTTCCCAAAGGCATGCCAGGGAGCTCAGCTGGGAGCACCAGCCCCCCAGCAACTCCTGTCTCAGTTTCCTGCAGTGACCACATGCCAGCAATGCCCAGCACTAGCTGTCTCACCATCCTCAGCTGGCAGGAAGCTGCAGGCTGCTCAGCACTCCCCTGGTGCTGTATTTATAGCCAGCGTGCCTCCCATGGGAACGATTCCTGTTTACAGCCGTATTTAGGCCTGGGCGTCACTTAGGAGTGATGTCACAGCAATGGCCATGTTCAGGGGGTTAATTTAAAGACAGTAGTTAAAAAACATTATTTGTCCTCTGGGTGAAGGGACAATATCTGACATCTAACCTAGTGGGTTGTTAGGTTGTTGGTTTTTTTTCCCTACTTCCCAGTGATCAGGCAAGTCTGTGCAAAGGAATGGTAAAACAGAGTATACATGATCTTCTGGGAGCATGGTCTATAACCCAGGAACCACCCTATTTCCCCTCCTCAGGATTAGTGTCCTGGTCCTTCTCTTAGCAGTGTGGAAAGACATCACACAATGCTGGCCATGAGAAAGTGAGCTGCATTGTTTTAAATAATATTTAATGTTACCACATGTGGGCATAAGCAGTTAGTCCTATTGTTCCTGAGCATCACTGAACTGGTTAGTTGATTGGTTGAATTTTACTGTGTAAGTGTTCAAATCCTTATGGACTGTACCCCGAGTATGTTGCTCAAGCACTTGCTGCTTCTGACTGTAGTCAGTCCTAGGTGCTCCCAGCAAAGGCAACACCAAGAAGCCCATGGTTTCCTCCAGACTAACACTTGTCCCACTTGTGTTTTGCATAATCTCTGGAAGATTTGGCCCAAAAGAACAAGCAAAACAAGTGCATCTTGGATAAGTCCCACACCTATCTTCTGCTGGGCTCCAGGTTTGCTTTCACATGGCAGAGGGTCGAGCTTGTTAATTCAGTCAACTAAAACACAAGGTACTGCCCCCACACAGCACGCACAAGTCCCTTGATGCTGAATCACTGTGGTGTTTCTGAAACCAGGCTGTGGGGTATTGGCAGGGGAGGAGCTGGTTGCAAAATGTGGCCTTTCTTGATCTGCTCTCCTGCTGTCCCAGTTGCTTGGCCCATCTCTGTTGGCTGGTTGGTTTTGCTGGCTCTCCAGTGCTGCCAGGAGCCCTTGGCCCTTCTTGTGACTCCTGTGGGCCATCTGCTGCAGACCTGCCCTGCCTCCACACTGCAGTCCAGCTTTTCCTTCCCTTTGGCTCTGGGGTATAATCCTGGAACATCCATCATGCTGCACTCCTACTGCATAGGTTTAAACCCAACTGCTTTCTTGGTTGACTGGTAACTCACCTTTAGGTACCTTGGGTATTGAATGCCCCATGGCTTTCACTGCTGAAAAAACTGCTAGGATAGAGCTCAGCTTCAAAACTGTCTTGCAGCTTGTGAAGAGCCAGGCGCAGTGAGAGGCTGGAGAGATCCTCTTCTTTGAACTTTATCTCATAAAACAAAGATCCCCCCGAGCCTCCTCTGCAGAAAGTGCTTTGACTAATAAAAGAATCCTTTGGCATTTGAGTAGGGGCTTATAAATAGACCAGGGCTGGTTGTGAAACAGCCCACTCTGCTTGAGTCACTTGGTAAATAATGATTGTAACACAGTGGTTGTGTAACATTGGAGCACCTCTGAGCTGGATGGAGTGCTGGTAGACAGTATAGACAGTATCACCCACCAGCCCTGGGTGGACTGAGGAAAGACCATCTTTAACCCCAGGTACTGCAAGCCAAGCTGGCCTTGTCTGCAGTGCATTGCAGCTGCCTGGGTTTCCTGGGGTCGGCTCAGTTCAGAAGCTTCCATATAGGAAGGGGGCATCATCATTCAGTTCCTCATTCATGTGAGGTAATAGGAGTCTGCTGAATGCTGCTCACCTATCTTAGATGTTTGTAGACCTCTGGAAAAGATGCAGGGGTAGAAGGAAGTACCCTGGAACTGAGGTGCTACTCTCCAGCATTGTGGCTGCCAGGCTCTCTATGAGGTCAAAATGCAGATGAGACCAAGCTCAGGCCACAAGTCCTGCCTCTCTTTTTTTTAGCACACCACTGAGCCACCTGCCCTTCCCATAGAAAGCCCAGCCACAAAGGGATCCTCATCACCTCCAGATCATGCATCTAGCCCAGGCCACCAGCAGCAACATGTCTTGGCAGCTCGTAAATCATTGTTTGCAGGCTGCCGTATTAATGTGCATTGATGTGTGTGCATGGATTTGCATAGGGAACACAGGCTTCACCTTTCATGTTTCACCTGCGCAGCTATTTCTGCTTCTGATTATCTCCAGGTTCCTGAGGCATTTCCCCATAGGACACAGTATCTTCTACCTGCTGGCAGCTCAGGGTGCCCCAGCATGTGGGATGTGATGCCTGATGGCTTTTCTTTTTGTCCCCTTTACCCCTGCTCTGGAAGGAGTACAGTTTTTTACCTCTCAAGGTTGTGAGATGGGTTTCAGGAAAAGGCAAAAACATTGGGGCTCCTGGAGGGCTTTGCAGGTCTCCCCACATCACTCCACTATGTCCTGGAGGCTTTCAGGAGCCATGTGATCCCTGTGCAGCACATGGCCTCTAGCACTTGGCACATCCAGGTTGCTAAATCTGGGGGTATATGACATGACTTGAGGGCACTAGGAGTGCCTAAATGGACTGGCCCTATTGGGACCACTAATCACCTGCCCACTACTTAAATGGAGCCTTGTTTAACCCAGGCATGCAGCTGGGCTTCAGGCTGTCCAACGTCTCTCCCTGTACAGGAAAGGTGATTGTCTCACATTTCTTTAAGCCTGGCAGAAATATGGAGACTCACAGCTGTTTGTCTTAGCTGCTGAAAAACACCACTTCTCACTGCTTTTTTCCTCTTAAATTTTTGACAACATTGAAAAAAAAAAGCTTTTTCAGTGCAAGGAATATTAGCCATTCAGAAGGGCTGTGGGGCTGCAGCTGTCATTCAGCTGGGGTTTACTCACCCAGGCAGAAATGACAATGCCAGATGCACTGTCACAGGGAAACCACCACCCCTGCTCTGTCCTAAGTGTCAAGCTAAAGACCCCTGGGGAATTCACACTTGGCTCTGACTGTCCTGGTTTTAGGTACAGTGATGTGAGAGCAGAGCTTACAAGTGGATCAGCAGTTGCCTGGGCCGTGGGCAGCTCCAGCCAGCATTGCTATGTACATGACAGCACCTGGTGCTCTTAGTGTGGCTGATAGGGTATTAAAATGCACCTCCAAGGCCATTTTGGAGTGAGCAGACAAAAGGTAATGGCTGATGGACACAAGTTACAGCAAGATAAAATCTTATTACAAATATATAGTACTCTGCCCATGTCTTGTGGTTGCACCCAGCTCCCCAAAAACACTCTGGGGTTACTAGCAGGACTCCTAGCTCTGGCCTGAAATGGGAGAGGACATCTTTCTGTCCCCCAGCATCCTTGTCCAGCACTGCTAGTGCAGTCAGCATTTACTATCCTGGCAGAAATCTGCCACTTTTCCAGAAAAGACATGATCACTGTTTGCTCAGCTTTGCTTTTTTGAACAATAGTCAAAATATCTGGCTGGCTGTGCAGCTTTCTAATGATTTACTGCACCCGAAGCCCCTAGAAATTTCTCTGAGCAGTAGCTCCTGCCAAGCTGATGGGGCTCCATAGCCTCTGCTGGGCCTCTTGACCCCTTTCCCAGTGCTCCCACTGTCAGGGCAGAGATGCAACTGGAGGCAACTGCATCTGGTTTTAGCTTGCAGATATTTCCTGCCACTGCAGGGATCAAAATAGCAGTTCTCAATGCAGAGCCCTCTTACCCTCCTTTGCTCTGCTGCAGAGCCATGTCCTGTCCTGAGCTTTGCTTATCCTCCTGCTGTGTGGTGGCTGTGGATAACATCAGCCAGCATGGAGCACAGGATAAGGTGGGACAGAGGCTTTAAAAATAAACCGGGCCCTGCCATAAATAAGGAAAAAACACCTGTCATGCATCCTGTAAACTACCCGTCCAGTCTTTTAGAAGATAATATCGGATGGGAACAAAGCAAACGGGAGCACTGCAGCTGCTGCAGCAGAGGCAGGACCCCGTGGTGGCCCCCGCCTGGGGTTTCTCCTGCCTGGGCGCCCTTCTGCCTGCCCCGGGCATGAGCCTTTCTGCCCTGCTGGGTGCAGCTCCGACCTCCTCAGCATCAGTACTCACAGGAGAGCTTCTCTCTCCATCCCCCCATCCCCAACTGCAAACCCACCCCAGCACCCCCAGCTCAAAGCCTGTGCTTACCTTGAGCTGGCAGGGACCAGAAGTGTGTAAAACAAGAACCCCGCAGGTCCCCGGGTGACTGCTTAAGTATCTGCGTGTGTTTGACAGGCGGGGACCTGAAAAACCTGCCGCAAATCACAGGAGCTCCCGGGATCCACAGGCGCTCTCTGGGCTGGTAATTCAGGTTTGGCACCCGCTCCCCTTGGCAGGGCTCCCTCCGCGCGTGGCCGTGCGCGCCGCGGGCTCTCGGTGGCCCGGCAGCCGCCGGGGCAAGTCCGCCGCGCTCGGGGCCCGGGACGCGGGCCCGGCCGGGGCTGCTTCCTGCGGGGGTACAGGAAAGGTGCAGGCGGGGTGCGGCGGAAACTGCGCTTCGTACAGCGGAGCTGCAGCCGAGCCCGCCCGTCCCTCCCGGCCGGGACGCATCCCGCTGCGCCGCTGTGAGGAGCCCCGCTCCCGCCTTGGCCGATGGAGCCCGGCAGCGCTCGCCGCCGCGCACGGCTGGATTCTGCTCTCGCTTTAGTGTCTTGCAAATGATGTGTGCAGGTTTTACATTCCTGAGTCTGCTGCCACTTTAGTCAGCCCTGTGATCCCGCCAGGCTGGGTGCGAGGGCAGGACGGGGTCCTGGCTCTGTCCTGCTGCTGCAGCCCTCAGAGGCGCAGCCTGGCCGGGGATGGGGAGGGGAGCAGGGCGGCCCCCTCTGCCAAAGCCGTCTCCTAGGAGCCTGCCGTTTTCAGTGTGGTGGTCTGGAAGCATTAGACAGCAGCTTAAAAAGAGGCATCTTGTGGGGTGGAGTGCAGTAGGGAGGGGCTGATTTATCTCTCAGTTTATAGACAGCTGGAAGGGGATGCTGGAAAATCAGAGAGGCTGAAGAAAGGGCTTATGAAAAATTGAGTACGGCTTGCAGTGGCTGAGATATCTGCCAGAGCGAAACTCAAACTGGCACAGAATGCAAAAGCTGTGGAGCTGGCTGGAGCGAGGCAGGGAGCCCTGACACTGAGGAGAAGTGGCTGGACAACCCAAGCAAGAAACCTGCCATATGTTTAGCAGTGAGCCAAGACTGTCCTGAAGAGGTTTTGTAATGTTGGCGGAAACATGGGCCAGGGCAAGGGGATTGCAAAGAGATCTGTGCCAAAGGACAGGCAGACCCGTGCCAGTTTTCCTAGCAGGATGGCATTGATCAAGCAAGATCAAGGGATAGCTTCAATGCCTGATAAACCAAATGGTGCTGTTCAGTGGCTGCCAGAGAGGTTTTTGGGGGAAGACTTGATCCTGCATGCCTTGGGCAGGCACCTGGCCAAAGGAATATGTCCTGTTTATCACTGGTGCTAAGCAACAGGAGCACGGCTACCAATGGGTGCACACAAGCAGGTTGGATGACATGTCTGGGGGATGGCTCCAGGAGCCATGGCTGGGGGCATCTGGGTGCATTCAAGGAGGCTGGGGCAGACCCCTGCAGCAGGACTCAGCCTCGGATTTCAACCCCAGTGTGGGAAAGTCCAGGCAGAGGTCCCGAACTGCATACTGACATGTCCTTAGGGCAGCTCTCAGGGGTTTGCTACTTATCTGCCCCATGTCTGTGCACTGCTCTGGCATCTGCTCTTGGCCAGCCTCAGTGACAGGATAGATGGGAAAATATCTGGTCCAGAAAGATTTTCCTATGTTTGTATGCTGTATTTTTTTTCCTTCCATGCATATGCCCTGAGTGCTGCAAAACGTGAGTAACGTGGCCTGCAGGAACAGGATAGGCTCATCTCTTCCCTTGTTTATTACTGTCAACGGAGAGAAAGCCTTTAATGTGGAAAAACCCTTTTCTCTTAGTCTGAACCCAGCCCAGGCTTGCACTGGGAGCACTGGCAGTGACGTGTTTCAGGCTGCTATACCCCATTGAAATGGTTTCAGAGGTGCTGGGAGTCCTGCAGTGACAGTGTGAAAGTCATGTCACAAATCTCTTTGCATCTGGCTGGCACATGTTAATGCTTCTCTGACCTTTTCTATAATCTTTAACACCTCATTTCTCCTGGGAGAGGGTCTAAGTACTGTTGGAATTTATGGCTCACCTGATACGAAGAGATCCTGTTCCCATAGGATGTCCTTTGTCAGCAGAATTAGAATAAATAGAACAAAATAAAGGGTGCATCCAGGCCCATCGCAGAGACTTTCTTCCTATTGAGAAGTAGTACAGCTGTTGTGATGTGCATTTGACAATTTTGCATAATACTGTGGCATTTCAGGGAGGGGTTGGCAGCTGCAGCCTGCATTCAGCACCCCACTGCTCTGGAACCCTCTTGCAGAGGCTTGAATATCATTGATATTGTTCCATGGCAAGATGTTGGCTGAAGTCACTTTTGCAGGGGTAGGTGGGGTGGGCATTCAAAACACAGCTCATGCCCATACTGGCCCAGTTGTTGTCCCTTTAACACTGCATGGAGACAGAATGGAAAAAAAACATGGAAAGGAGAGGGGCGAAGCAACTAGTCAAGCCATCAGGATAGAATGGGCTATAACATAGCTTTTCTGACTTGTTCCTCCTTTTCATGTATGTGTCTCTCTTGAATTTTGCCATGTTTTCTTTCCTGAAAATGAGGCTTAGCACCAGCACCCCTTGCTGGGGATTAAGCAGAGATTTTTTTCCTTTTTCTGAGTATGTGAATTAAAAAATACGTGCTTCCCAGACTCCACCCCAATCCAAGTGCCAGAGAGAGTGCAAAAGCTTCCTTTCTCCCTCTGAACACCCCAATGCAAAGGAAAACCTCAAAAGCCATCTTCTGTTTTGTTTACCGGTGGCTTTTTTTTTTTTTCCTGATGTGCTGGGGGTCTCTGGCTATTAATAAAAATTTAAAAAAAAAATGTGGCTGGAAACAAGGCTTTCCATAATATTTTGGCTTCCATTCAGTTAGAGAAGAGTTTTCTAACTAGCCAGTACTGACTCACAGCACAACTCTTGCAGCTAAGCAGATGAGATTTCTACCTCCATAACCCACTTGCCCCATAACAGCACAAGAGATCGGTTGTTCTTCAGGGTGCAGCTGGCAATTGCCTTTGTTGGACGTCCCAACACACAAGAACTCGACTGAGTCATAGTTCTTTTGATCATTTTCCCCCTAGGAGAGCAGCAACACTGGTTGCACCCTGAGAGCCAGCAGCACACCAGCAGCACACCGTGCTTACCCAGCCCATGCCCTGGGCAGGGGGAAGAGGAGGAAGGCACAGGGGGCTCCTGCTGCTGGAGCAGGGCTGCTGGCCTGGCCTCAGCAGCTGCCTCTTCTGCTCTCTCCTTCATGCAAGTTCCTTTGGTTTTAGTGGGCAGGGTTCAGCCTGTCTCTCCTCAGCAGTAGAAGGGATCCAGGCCAGACAGATACTAATCAGTGTCTTCCAATAAGATTCCTGCCTTTACTTTTTCCGTGGGATACATTTGTGTGGATGGAAATGGCAGTGTTTTATTATTCCTCCCGTTGTTCCAGCACTTCTCGGAGAACAGTGTCATCTCATTGGTATTTCCATGTGCAATCTCTGCCTGGGGTACAGTCTTCCTCCCTGCTCTCACTCTTACTAACCAGATTGTTTTGAAGTGACTAAACCGGGAGTTGATACGTGCAGTTCCTTGCCGGGAGGATTTTCAGCAGCACTGCCATAGCTTGTAGGCAGAGCGTGCTGCAGCACGCAGAGGCAGCCAGCAGGACATCATCACACGTGGGAGCTGCTGCCATGCCCAGCCCAGGAAAACACGGGCCCAGCACTGGTGAGAGGCAGGGAGGGAGGACAGGGTAGAGCTGCAGATCCACTCTCTACCCTGGGAGTGCCAGGCGTATGTGCAGGGGAGCGAGTGCCCTGCCACAGACTCGGAGGGCTGTGTGTTTTCTAGGGAGCAAGTCAGGGAGATGGGGGCTGGAAAATGTCTGCTGAAATCTGTTCTGTTCTGAATCTCTAGGCTGAAGTTGCCTAGAGAGCTTTTGGAGTTCCTGACTCAAATACTTAAAGGTCAACAAAGGGACTTTATCCCTCCCCAGAGCAACGATGAGCTCTGTTCAAACACTGGCCTACCACCAACATGGCTTTCAGTTGTAGCAGGAGTGCTACTCTGAAGACCAACTTCAAGGGTCCCAGCAGGGTGAGCACAGGTGCTGACCATCCCATGACTGCTCAGCCCTCAGTATGAGGGACAAGGATCAAGTTTTCCCCTGCGCTGTCCCATGCCAGGGAGCCCAGAGGTTCCTGGTCCTTGTGCCCACCTCATGGCAGCAGTGCCATGCAGCTGGCAGCCTGTGCTTTCTGTTGGACCAGTTTGGGCAGGCCCCTGTGGAGAGGTGGCTCTGGTGCCACCAGCTGCTGGGCATTGCCACAGGCGGTGAGCAGGATGGGTCATCTCTGTGTGACACACACCACAGCCCCTGTGGCACCTGTGGTGCTCTGTGATGCTGGCAGACAACTAGAATGACTCGCAGAGTGACAATGAACAGGGAAGGAACGCAATGGAGACTCTGTTCCACCTGCTGGGTGTCAGGGAGTGGCTTCAAGGGCCCTAAGCAACTAACTTTAAAATTTTTGTTCCCTTTAACAACCTAGTTGCTAAAGATGGCTCCTGGGAAGCTGGCACTGACAAAGGCTGCTAGCTGCCCATAGTCTTCTCTACACAGCCGACCATGGGGACAGCTGAGCGAGCATAATAGGAGTCTTCCTCACAGATGCCTTCCTCATCGCTCTGACAGCCTCATCACTCCAGAGAGGGGGCACCTTCAGTGGGACATTCCCTGCTCCTGGAATCTCCCCCTGCTCCAGCTCTGGGGGGTCTGGCACTCCACTGTCAGAGGGTTGTTTGTGTCTAGCGTGCCTGGCAGAGAGGCTGCAGGGAGGAGGAGGGTGCCCTTGCCATATCTGTCAGGGTATGGTGCCTGGGCTGGAGGGGGGTGCTTTCCAGGGAAGGAGTATGGGAGCAAGGTGCAGTGCTGCACAGGCAAGCAGCTGGAGAGTCCTCGACCCATGGGAGAGCCCAGCAGGCTCAAACAAGCACAAACAGCCTAAGAAACCTGAGCTAACGAAGCCGTGCCTGCACCACTGCTTAGGGAAGTCACACTCCTGTCACAGCACGTCTTTCAGCACCTTGTCCTGCTGCAGGGACGTGGTTTGGGGGACGCCCAAGGCTGGGGGCCAGTTCCCATCAGTGGTGAGGGCAGGTTCTGGAGGCCCACTGCCAATCTGAGGTTGTTTGGAGCAGAAGGAAGGCTTCTGGCACTGGCATGAGATTGCTCTTATGTTGCTCCAAGTGTTCCATGTGCCCATCTCTTGGCTGGCTGGTGCTACATACAGCCAGTCTGCCTTCTCTGGGTGGGCTTTTCTCCCTTCTTCAAAGGCTGTTTCTCATCCTAGGCCTAGTCCTGGCTAGTAAGATCATTTCCAAGGGAGGGCTTTATGTAGGGCCACGTCTCCTGTAGGTCTCTGGCCTGGCTGCAGAAAGCCCTGCTCTGTGGGGTAGGCATAGCAGGGCTGAGCTCAGGGGGCCCACTGGAGAGCTGTGCCCCCTGAGCTACTCCTGCTGTCCAGCACAGGCCCGTGTGCATGGCGAGGGAACACTG